CACCATTGATTGTAATGCAAGAAACTACAAACAACCTCAATGTCCATCTATGGGAAAGAAGTTGAATACAGTCTTCTAGATCCATGGAACATTTGACAGGCAATGAAAAGACTGTGGCAGCTCTATGCATCAATGTGGAATGACTTACAAGGCCTATAAATAAAAAGCTAGGTATAGAATAGTGTATCTAATGCATGGCACCTGCATTAAAGGGAATGTGTATATATACATACACACACACACATTCAGATTATCTCTAGAATAAAACACTGGGTTGGCCGGGCGCAGTGACTCACGCCTGTAATCCCAGCATTTTGGGAGGCCGAGGCAGGTGGATCACCTGAAATCAGGAGTTCAAGACCAGCCTGGCCAACATGGCAAAACTCTGTCTCTACTAAAAATGCTAAAATTAGCTGGACATGGTGGTGCATGCCTGTAATCCCAGCTACCTGGGAGGCTGAGGCACGAGACTCACTTGAACCCAGGAGGTGGAGGTTGCAGTGAGCTGAGATTATGCCAATGTACTCCAGCCTAGACAACAGAGCGAGACTCTATCTAAACAAACAAACAAACAAACAACAACAACAACAACAAAAACCCACTGAAAATGGTGACAGTGATTGCTGCTTCTGAGAAGGGGGATTTGGGGATAAGGATGAGGAGGGACCTTGCTTGCCGCTGTATACTCTTCCCATACTCCTCCTACTGTCCAAATTCTTTATGTTGAGTATGTTTTACCTTTTCAAATAAAAATGCATCCAACCAGCTCTGCAGCCAGCAACCTTCCTAAAGCACAAATCTGGTTATGTCACATCCTACTTACGACTCTCCAGGGTCTGGCTATGACAAGGGACTCTCCAGGGCCTGCCTATGACAAGGGCGTCCCAGACCGTCACAGTTTATGCTTGTTCCAGAGTAATTATATCCTCACTCTATGGGGTCTCTAAAGATAAAATCCACCCTCCTCATCATGGACTGGCCTCATCTGACATGATTCTCGCCAGGCTCTTTAAACTCCAGAAGCACTGAACTGCTGGTAGCTCCCCTACCCGCAAGCTATTTTTAGCCTCCAGGCCTTTGCTCATGCTGTTACCCTCTGCCGTTACCCTCTGCCGGGAATGCCTAGAGTACTCACTCAGCTCAGCTCAGGGACACAGCCAGCGGCTCAGCCTACAAGACGCAGCCACGCCCACCCATGCCCCCTGCCTGCACAGCTCTGAAGCCCTGCCTGCAGCCTGCCTCAACCTCCTGTGCCCTTAGAAAGACAGAACACAATGAGCCATTTATGCACCTGCTTTATCTCCTATACTTGAGGGCCAGATCTGTGTCCAGTTTGAAATGGAAGAAAAAAGTAATGCCCTAAATTCGAGCCCAGCTCCAGAGTCAGAAACACTTGGATTTGAATCCTGGGTCTGCCGCTGGAGCTCTGCAGCCTGAAGGAATGCAGGGATGGCTACAACCTCAAGCTGTTACTTCACCTCTCTGGGCTTTCCTTTCAGCCACCTTTCCACTCAACCTCCTTTTTTGTTTTGTTTTGTTTTGTTTGAGATCTATGAACGCGGGTACATATAAGACTAGTTGGTTTAGTTTACCTGATGTGTACCAGTAAAGTAGAAAACACATTAACTAATCAGTTTTTCTACTTTCGCTCTGCGGAATCTCTGCCCCGATTGTAACTGATAAGGAATCTCTGCCCTGACTGTAACGGAATATGCACATATTAACATTCCTGCAGACCTTGTCTTTCATTTTACCTGTATTTTTCTTGGCCCTGATCTGTCAATGTATGCAGTCTTCCTCCCATTTGTGTTTGGGCACACTATCTCAAGCCCTTTTGGGAATAAGGCCAGGAGGATACCTACGCATGCAGGCACCCTAATGAACAGGCCAAACCTCCAAGGGCAGGGCGCCTGTAAGAGAAGGGCCTTTCCTGTAGGAAATGGGCATCAAAGGCCAACTGCCAGAAACTGCTAGAACCAAGTCTCCCCATGCTAGTGCCTCACGGTTATTTAACCTCCCACAGCCTCAGTTTCTTTATCTGTAAAATGGGGACAAGAGTGGTGACTTCACAGAATTGTTGTGAAGATTAAATAACTCATGAAAAGCTGGGCACGGCAGCTCACGCCTGTAATCGCAGCACTTTGGGAGGACGAGGCGGGCAGATCACCTGAGGTCAGGAGTTTGAGACCAGCCTGGCCAACATAATGAAACCCTGTCTCTACTAAAAATACAACAATTAGCCAGACGTGGTGGTGGGCACATGTAATCCCAGCTACTCAGGAGGTTGAGGCAGGAGAATACTTGAACCCACAAGGTGGAGGTTGCAGTGAGCCAAGATCACACCACTGCACTCCAGCCTGGGCAGCAAAGTGAGACGTTGTCTTGAAAAATAAATAAATAAACAAATAAATAAATAAAATTATAACTCATGAAAGACCTTACTACAATACCCAGCATTCATTAGGTTCAGTAGATATTGATAAACACAGGAACTGATGAATACAGAATCTGAAAGGATCCTTAAAGCTCCCCCAGAGAAACCCAAGCCCCTTTCGCCCTAGTGCTGACAAGAGAAGTAAGTTCCCCAGAGGATGCATGATTGTAACCTCAAATACTGGAGCTGACCTACAACACTCATGGGCTTTTGCCAGAGAGTTCTGGTTCCTCTAAGAAGATCCTATTTATTCCTGCCCAGGGCACGGGACACTTGATCCAAGCTGGCACTTGGCTGAATCCTGTCCACATTGGGCAAGCTTGACTATGCATCTGCCAGATACTTCCTTAGCCTGCTATCAGGAAGCCAAAGGAGAAGGGGTTCTGCAGGAAGGGGTGCTCAGGAATGCCTCCAGCTCACTTCCCATCAAAGGAGAAATCCTTCCATGTTTAAGGGGTAGAAATCCTTGTAAGTGGTAATCAACAGAATCCATTGAAAACCTGACTGCACCCTCCCAGAGGTGAGATCTGCTTTTGAGCTTTTGCCTGCCTTGTGTGCCCGAGCTCCGGTGTGCTGTTCCTATACCTGAGCTGGGCAGGGCATTCATGATCCAGGGGCCTGTGCTCAAGCCAGTGTATACCCTGGGCCTGGGGGTGTAGAGGTCAGTGTCTCCTGTGGCCAGGACCCACACAGCCAGCACAGGGGCCAAGTCATCAAAGAAGGACAAAGTGAGAGCCAGCACTGAGCTCTCAGGAGCAGAATCCTCCAGGCATTCCAGTTCCCCATGAGAGAGACAGCAAGATGAATAGAAAAGACACAGGCCTGGGAGGCAGATGGACACCACTGATTAATGGCATGACTTTAAGCTTATTAGTCAACATCTCCATGCTTTTATTGACTCACCTGTGCAGCCGGGAAGATGATCACTATGTGGATTAAGAAGACAGGTGACAATAGGGAAACCCAGTTTATGTGATTAATCAGGGCAAGGAGTCTTCCCTATCACAATTTTTTAAATGAAGTTTTGTAATGTCACAGAACAACTGCAGGGGAGGCCTAAGCCTTTGTTTGCTCACACAAGTTCCCCCACCCCTTTCTTGCTACCACCTGTGCCAGTCATCAGGTTATTATGTCCCGGTTCTAAAATCATCCTTCTTTGCTCTGCTTTGAAATACCGGAGCTGGGCCCTGTAAACATCTCCCCTTTGTCAGCTGGGGCAATGTTAGGCTTTGTCACAGGGGGCTCTGGAGGGATGCCACAAGGACAGCAGAGGAAGGGGCTTCTCTTCCTGCTGCCAGAACATGGCATTTCCTCCTGTGGCACAGCTGCCAGTGGGATAGGTGTGCAGGAGCAGCGATGGCACTCGTTCTCCAGCAAACCTCACACCCTACACCCTACACCCTACGAGCCACTTTTGTGGAGTGGCTCTGGCCTGCTCGCACTCTCTCTCTCTCTCTCTCTCTCTCTCTCGTTTTCAGGCCCCCATCTGGGCTGGTCATCTAGACTGCTCTGGCTCCTACACTGGCAAATCTCCCCACCAGCAGCAGGTTTTGGTGTTCCTGCAGCAGCTGCGTCCTCTCCTACAGGTCTGGGGCTCAGCTCAAGCGGGTGGAAGTCTTAGTTCCTTCATTGTTGACTCCCTCTCAACCCTAAGGGTAGCAGCAGCTTCCTTCAGCTGCTGTTCCTGGGACCCCTGGAGTCCTCTTCTACCCTTTGTAGTACTCAGTCATCAGATTTCACCCATTAGTAGTGTCCTGGGGCCGCTGTAACAAAAGTGCTGAAAAACAGTGGTTTAAAAATAGCAGGAACGTGTTCATCACAGTTCTGGAGGACAGAAGTTCGAAGTCAAGGTGTCAGCAGTGCCCTGCTCCCTCTAAGACTCCGGGGACCCTCCTGGCCTCTTCCGCTGGTGGCTTGCAGTGGCTTCACTCCACTCTCTCCGTCTGCTGTTCCATGGCCATCTTCTCCCTGTGTGTCTGCATCCAAATATCCCTCTTCCTACAAGGACACTGGTCATGTTGGACAAGGCCTGCCTTGGATTACATCTGCAAAGATCCTGTTTTCAAATAAGGTCACATTCACAGGTACCAGGGGTTAGGACTTCAACACATCTTTCTCAGCGACACAGTTCAACCCATAACGCCAGACGCTTTGCGCTTGTTGATGAGTCTTTTTACTACATTTTCCCTGTTCAAAGTATCAGTGTGGTTTCTATCTCCTGCCTGACAGTCCCTGATTAACACATGGCCCTAATTTAATTCACCATAACACTCATCTGTCCCAGTCAAGCTGAGGTGGGATATTAAAGAAAGAAAAGAGAAACAGAAATTAAAAGGGGGGGGGGAAAAAAGCTGCCTGTGATTCTCCTGCTCTACCCCAAGGTGTCTCTTGCCCTCCTGATTTTTCTGCAACACAGCAACCCCTAAGCCATCTCACTGCCTCCACACCCATCCATCTACAGTCTCCTCCCACAGCACCCTGCTTAAAACCCGTCAGAGACTTCTCAGCCAGGGCGAAATCCACGCTCTGCCCCATGGTGCTCTGCCCCGCCCCTTCCCACACTCACCTTGGACCTGCGTCTCCCCTTGCTCACTAGGCTCGGAGCCCAACAGCATCCCTGCCCAGGGCCTTTGTTGGGCCACTCTTTGGACATGGCTTAAATCCCCCAGGGCATCTGCTGCCACCACCTCGTCATGTGAGCCGCTGCTCTGCCTCTCCCGTAGGGGAGGTGTTTCCTGACCAACTATTGGCTAAGGTCCCCTCCTGGTCACCCGCTGTCACGTGGCCTCCTTTTGTGATCCTCCCCGAATGCACCTGTACCTAGAATTGTCATGGCTGTCCGTTCTGTGTCTGCTCGCCACTCCACCCTCGGCGGCGTTAAACCCTGAGACCAGGACCGGGCATTGCCTAGCATCTCCAGCACCAAGGACAGTGCCCGGCACACAGGAGGGGCTCAGGGAATATTTGTTGACTGACTGTTGACATTGCAGCCTTTATTCAAGTACAAATCTATAGAATACTGTAATTACATACCCAGCATTATAAAAATTCAGATTTTTAGAAACAACAACCACCTGAAAGAAATCCTGGATTTTGTGGGTTTTTCTTCTTAAACTTCAGCTCCTTTGTCCTTTCTCATTAATGCTCTGGAAAATGCTGTATGGTCAGGGCTGCCACTGAATGAAGTCACTTCCTACTGAACCCTGGGGTGGCCCTGTGCGACTCCTCCAATGGGCAAGGCTGGCCTGGGCAAGGGGAACGTCAACACAGGCCGCTCCGGCAGCAGAGCAAGAAACAGGAAGTTTCTCTGATAGTAAGTCCTGCTCTCTGCAGCACAGTCAAATGTAGAAAAGACAGGACTAGGGGTTGTGATTACAGCTTTTGCCATAGACTGAGTGTTTGTTTGTGTCTCCCCAAAATCCATGCATTAGATCCTAATGCCCAGTGTGATGGTATTAGGAGGTGGGGCCTTTGAGAAGTGGTTGACGGGATCCATGCCCTTACACAAGAGGCCCTGGAGAGCTGCGTTGCGGCTTCCACTGTGTGAGAATGCATTGAGAAGACCATCAGCGAACCGAGAAATGGGTCCTCACCAGACACCAGATCTGCAGGCACTCTCATCTTTGGATTTCCCAGCCTCCAGACGATGAGGAAAAAATTTTGCTGTTTTTAAGCCACCCGATCTATGGTATTTTTTTACAGCAGCCTCAACAGACTGACAGCTTTGTTCCCCAATTTGTCACCTCCTGTGTCCTTGGGCCACACCCTTAACCTCAGTCAGTGACAGGTCTCCCCCTGCAAATGAGTAAAGTAAGGAGACCTTGCTTTGAGGAAGATGTGTCCTGTAGAAAGACCACTCTAATTAATGCTAATTAAGCTGTTTCCTAATACAAGCCAAAGTAATCATTAAGAAAACAATCTCAATGGTGTTAGCATTTGGTTACACTCTAGGGAACAGCTCAGAACATAAAAGTCTGTGAATGATTCCAGAACATGCTTAGAGCTGCTCCTTTGCTGCCACCCAGATCTGACTCCTTGATAAGCCCAAGAAGTCCCCATGAGAAACTGTTCTTGCCTGGAGCCTCTGGAAAACTGACATAACTCATGACATGTGTCAGATCGCGGCAAAGATGGAGCTCAGAGGGGTTCCATTCCTGCCTGCTCCATTTTTGAAAACCAAGAGAAGCTCCTCAGAGTGGCAAGACAGTGGCCAGCTCTGAGGAAAAGAACCCCTGTGTGGAACTCAGTGCCCACCCCCGGCACTTTCTGAGCCACTGCTTTCCTCTGCAAAGTGGAGCTATAATCACTACCGTCAGGGACAATGCAGATTACGATACTATATGTACACAGTAGGTAACCAATAAATGGTGTCAAATGTCCACCATCTTGGGGCATGCTGAGTGCAGGGATCTGGCCACAGACCAGGGGCCTCTTCCAGCTGCCCAATCAGAGCCCTCTGCAGCCCAGCCCTAGCCTGCAGGCCCCTTGCCCCCAGCTCGTGGGCAGGGTCCCTCTGAAGCTGTTACCCTCATTACTAGAATGTAGGTCACAGGGTGATTTGTGTTGTCCACAGGTGCGTGCCTGGCACCTAGAACACGCATTCAAACATTCAGTAAATGTTTGTTGAGGGTCATATGAATGAATGAAGGATGCGCCCAACACCAGCCTTTTAGCCAACATTCTCTCATCACGAGAATTTTCTAAGGGCTCAGACACCAGTCCCTGGGTCCCTCCAATTCCAAAGACACACTCAGCTATCCAGACGGTTCCCTCAAATGCCTCCCCCAGACTTGGGAGAGACTAGTACACAGGCAGCCTCTCCGGAGCACTCCCTGCACCAGCCTCCTCAAGTTCCCCAAACTCTCACCCTGCCTTATTCTCCTGGAGTGGGTGAGGGCCCACGCTGGCAGAGCAGCTCGCAGCCGCCCCTGCAGAGATGGGCTATCTGACACCTTGTGCTTTCTTCAGAACCCCTTAGGGCCTCAGCTGAAGCTCAGACAGAGTGCGCGTGCGCACGTACACACACACACACACACACACACACACACATCTAATTTTCAACACACTTGCACAAATATAGAAACATCATGGGGAAAAATGCAAAATACCTATGATTTCTGAGACAAGATCCGAGATGTCAAAGATATTCCCTGCTTATTCTGCTCATGCCCGGGCTCCCCTGCCCACCCCCAGTGCATTTATGTGATATCATGAAAAAGCAGCAGGGGTGGCATGAACTTGCACACCAGGCTGCCCAGGCTTGAGACCCAGCTCTGCCACCCAGAAGCCGGGAGCCCCTGAACAAGCAGCAATTCTGCGCCTGGGCTTTCCTGACTGCAAAATGAGGATAATCACAGCCCCTGCCTCCAAAGTGTCCCGAGGATCAAATGAGTTCATGATACTCGTACGGCGCTCGGATCGTGGTAAGTGTGCTGCATAAGTGCTCCTTAAATCACCATCTGGAGTTTCCTTACCAATCTCTCCCTGGCTTCATCTTATTTTTTTTCTCCCCCTCATTTTTATTCCTCTCTGATTTCCTCATGTATGTTTTTTAATCTTGTCATATTGAGTGCATCTCTGCAAACTGCTTCTAATACTTCAGGGAACTAAATGCTGTGTTTCGTGCTCTCTTTTCCCCGTCACCTCCTGGAATATGTAGTAAGTCTTTGTGAGGATGTCAGCCCCTCCCCGCTGGGCTGGGGGTGTCCTGGGTAAGGGGGCTATGCCCACCATGGGAACAGCACACAGGCCCAGCTTGCTGGGGGCCACACTCATGGGAAACAGAGAGGGGTGACAGTGAGAACAGAGGCAGGACAGAGCCAGCTCCTTGATCCTGCTGCCCCTGGAAGCTTCTCCTCCCAGCATCAAGCACAGGCAGATTTGGGGTTCTGTTGTCTAAGAGAGGTGGGATTTCCTTGCTGTAAGTGGGACAAGTATCATCACTATTAACCATCATGAATGAGAATGAAACAGAATGAGAAGACAAAAAGCCAGAAAGATGTTCTTGTTCCTCTGTGCTCACACAGCTCATCAGAGAGGGTTGAGGCGTGGGACCCCACGTTCTAACCCCAAGGAGTCCCTATAACCCTGTCTGCTACACTGAGACACAGGTCCCTTCCTGCTCACATGAAGTAAGCCATCTATTTTTTTTTAATCCCCATAGAACACAAGTGGCAATGAAAAGACACAATATAAAGAAAAGAAAAATATAAAGAAAACGTTAAGTAGATCAGTGGTTGCCAGGGGCTAAGGGAAGGGGAAAATTGGTACAGGTTTCTTTTTGAGGTAATTGATGAAGGGTTCTGGAACTGCTGGTGGGGTTACACAAATTTGTGAATGTACTAAAAACAACCAAATTGGACAATTTAAAAGAGTGAATTTTATGGCATGTGAATGATCTCTTAATTAAAAAAAAAAAAAAAGGCTATAAAAGTTTCATTTACAGCCACAGAAGGCCAGGCGCAGTGGCTCATGCCTTTAATCCCAGCACTTTGGGAGGCCATAGTGGGCTGACTGCTTGAGCTCAGGAATTCAAGACCAGCCTGGGCAACATTGTGAGACCCTGACTCTAAAAATAGATACATACATAAATAAATAATAAAATAACACCACAGAGCCCAACCCCAGACTCATTCTAGATGAGTATGCTCCAGGCCTGACATTGCCAGTGTCTGCAGCGGGCCGTCGTAGGACCTGAGTGTACCTTAAGGGAGTGTGGGATCTGTGACTGAATTTCAGGAAGATTCAGCTTGTATTTCCTATATGGGAAAGCCCCTCGGAAAAGTAGGGGTTGATCCCCCTGCCCCTTCATCACTGATGGTGGCACCCCCACGGGCACGTAGTCTGGCCAATGGGATCATCTCAGGCACCAACTTACTCCATGGTCTGAAACCTTTTTTTTTTTTTTTTTTCCTGAGACAGAGTCTTGCCCTGTTGCCCGGGCTGGAGTGCAGTGTGGCTTCATCTTGGCTCACTACAAACTCTGCTTCCCGGGTTCAAGTGATTCTCTAGTCTCAGCCTCCCCAGTAGCTGGGATTACAGGCACTCGCCACTGCGCCCAGCTAATTATTGCATTGTTAGTAGAGACAGGATTTCACCATGTTGCCCAGGCAAGTCTTGAACTCCCGACCTCAAATGACCCGCCCGCCTCGGTCTCCTAAAGTGCTGGGATTACAGGCGTGAGCCACCGCGCCGGGCCCGGTCTCTAAGCATTGTCACTTCATAGGATCCCCTGGCAGCCCCATGAGGGAGACAGGGCCACAGTCACTGACCCTATTTGGCAGCTGAGTGAAGGTGGAGCTCAGAGGTGGAGCCTAAACCCAGGCTGGACCCACACTAGTTTCCTCGTGGGTCGGAGATGTCTGCTTTACTTTTATGAAAACATCGTCCCGATCTCGCACACCTAAAGCTGTGTATCTGAGTGCGCCGGGCCGACTGCCTGGCACCCACCTGCCTTCAGGCCTCCAGCTCTTGCCTGCAGCGACCCCTGGTGGGCGCGCCGGCCTCGTCACCTCCAGGCTGGGGACTCCCTTCCCGGGAGGCCGCACCTGGAAGGAATACGCCCCGGATACTGCCGGTTGATGGAAACGGAACCCGGCTGGCTCACTGCCAGCGGCCTGGTCAAGAACGCCGGCTCCGGAGCCCGACTGCCGGGGGTATCCGCCCACCTCACCCACCTGCCAGCCCTGTGTC